TTGAATGGCGACTGGCAACCAAAGACGACGGTCCCTTGCTGAAACTGTGCCGGAATCCTTGCCTGAACCTTTAAAGGGGCCTTTGCTGGAGCCCTGGCATGAACCTTGCACTGCAAGGTTCCAAGGTTGCAAGGTCACGAGGCAGCCAGGAAGCACCAAGGTTCATGCAAAGAGTCGAAAGTTCCAGTGTTCTAAGGGTTGCAGGATAAGGTGCCAGGGTTCGAATGAGTTTGAATTTTGCTGTATTAGTTTGTATCTTTCTTTGCTTAATGTGCGGGGCTGCTTCATGTGTCATCAAATCCTGGAACCATGGAACTCTGTGGAACGCCAAACTTGGCCTCTTGCAACCTTGGAGCCTTGCTACCCTTCCTGGAAAGCGAGAGCCGAAAAACTTTGAACCTTGCACCTTGTGAAACTGTAGAGTTGACGCTCTACTCTGATCATACTCTATTTTCTACAAACTGAAACAGCTCTATTGTGTTTTGCCTTTGCTTTGTATTGTTGTTGACGAACCAAGACAAGACCCTTACAAGTCTGGAACCATCCCTGATGCTTGGAACCTTGAACTCTGGAAACCTGGAACCCCAGAACCCTGGTAATCTAGAACTCTGGAACCTTGGAGAGCTCTGCAACCTTGCAATCCTGGAAACCTGCAACTGCGGAATCTTGGAACCCTGCAAAGCCTTGGAACCTAGTCCGATAACAGTGCAACCTTGGAACACTGGAACCCGCTGTTGGGTTGCAAAGCTGGGTTAATTTATTCATGTTGCCAACCAGACCAGGGTTTACTTTTACCAATAAAAAGGTGTGTTTTTTACCAACAAAAGGAGGAATTTAAGCACCAAGAAGTTGGAGCAACAAGAAAGGGGATTTCGCCACAAAATGAGTAAACCCACTGGGGAATAATTGGTGGTTTCAAATATGTTTTTCAGTTGAAGCATATCTGAGATCATGATCCCCATTGATATTTCCAAAGTCTTCTATTGAAAATGCCGACGGCGAAGTTTGTATCTCTTCTGGTAGAACCACAGTGGTAGCTGCTGAAGTTTATCATCTTATTTTCCAATTGTTCACAGAAGGCGGGAGGCACTCTCACATATTTCATTTTCCGATTGGACTATTGGAGATACACGAAATGGGGGTACCCCTAAATCATCCATTTGTAGATGGGATTTTCCATGAAATAAATCCAGCGTTTTTGGGGTATTCCCCGGTTCTGGAAACCCCCAACCCTTGGAGACACACGATCTTCACTGCGGATCCTGTGCAGGATGGCAGAGGATGAGCAAACTTTGAAAGAAAGGCAGGGACCGCGGTGGTGTCCATGAACTACCAGATGAGCAGTGTTCAAAACCACTGTTAGTTCATGATTATAGGAGATCTGGTTGGTGGTTTGGAACATGTTTTTGCCATAATTTATGGGATGTCATCCTTCCCATTGACGAACTCCATCATTTTTCAGAGGGGTAGGTTGAAACCACCAACCACTAGTTGATGTTTATAGGAGATTATACCAACTAAAGTATTGGGGAATATCACAATCCATCAGGGAACTAGATGTATCCACATCTGAGCAGCTGCAAAACCCCTGTTACTTGATTATAAAGGCTATGCCCAGTATCTTGGGGGCTCAATCCCTCAGGGAATTTCTGTTCTCATCCCAGTAAAAAGGGACGACACAGGGTTTTGAACTCATCCAAGTACATTAATATCCCTTCAAGAGTTTGGAATTTGGGAACCACAAATCGATTGGTCAGGTTTCATCCTTTGTCAACCGTGGCTTCTTTGATGATTCCAACCAGTTGGCAAAATCCTCCAAAAAAACCCGGGGATTCAACGTCCCTGAGGCGCTTAGCTTATCAGGAGCTGCGAGCCAAGGTGCAGAAAAATGGGCTTTGGGCTTGAAAACCAAAACCAGCAGAAACTTCACCAACAGGGACATTCTGGGAGTATCATTGGATATCATGGGGATAATGGACCAATGAATGGGATCATTTCATTGTTTTTGAAGGGATCTTCATGGAATTTTAAGGGATTTAACCATCAGCAAATGGACGATATCTATCATGGTTTAATGTGGGAAAAACCATATCATGTTTACCACCCATTTGATCATTTGGGAATGGTATTTTTTTTACTTTTTAGCACCTATAAAAATGGTGATTTTCCTGGGGGATGGTGCGTTGATCATCCATTGTTTTACCAACAGAAAGCCATCTACCGAAGCTGATCTGCTCGCTGGTCTTGGATGGCTTTTCCAGCGCCACAGAAAGGTCGTGAAATATTGGACTGGTTGGTGGTGATTGGAACATGAAGTTTATTTTCCCCAACCAGATTGGGATGATCCAATCTGACGAACTCATATTTTTCAGAGGGATTGAAACCACCAACCAGTGGACCTTTATAGTTAGTGGACCTTGATCATCTTTGAGACTATAAATGAATTGGAGATGTGTGTTTATCTTTATAGTAAAATGACCTGCAAATGGGGATTCGACCATCATTTGATGGTGGTATATGGTAATGGTGATGTTTGTGCATAATATACAGTAATGTACCCTCTGGTAAACTAACATAGCTATTGAAAATGGCCATCTATAGTGGATTTACCCATAAACAATTGTGGTTTTCCATAGTTATGTTAGTTTACCGGAGGGTAATCGTCAAGAACAATGCTTCAGCCAAGATGAATCATCTGCAGAATCATGGCTGAATATGGTCAGTGGTTGATCAAAATGATGGATCAATAGATGAATCTGCTGTGGGGATTCAGCCAACCATCATGCAGGATCGTCCGACATAGGGACTGGTCAGCAACTTCAGTTGTAACCTGTTGATTTAGCGGTTCATCTTAACCCAAGAATTTCATGGTCTGGGATTATAACCCACTTATATGGGATGACCCCAGTTAGGGGACTTACTAACCAGGGTTGTTCAAAGAAATTGCCAATTGTGGATGATCCTTGAAGTACTAGATCTTCACTAAGGCAAATGGCAAGCACCACTTTAACGGGCTTTAACCAACAAAGATGGCTGGTTTAACTAGAAGATGTAGCTACAGTAACTCAACAGGTGATGGGTTGATGGTTTTTTAAGGGCAAGAAGCAGCGACGGAACGTGGTTGATTTACCAAGAAAAAACGTATGCTTCAGGGGAGCTGAAATCACCAAGTACATACTTTCTTGTGGTCATGTGTTCATCCCTCATCCCATTTGAACCGGAGTCAAAGATTGATTGATGCACCTGGAAAAGTTTTAGCAAAAAAGGAAGCACAAAAATGTGGATTTCACAAACAAAACTACGGATCTCGTTGATACAGATTTAACAATCCAGCAGGAATCAGCCAAAGCAAATGGAGAAATGACCATCAAGAATCAAGACTAGATACCTCACATTACCCTGCATCCATAATGAATTGGTAGACGTTTTTGTCACCTCGGCAGCGCGGCAGATGTTGGATGAACTTCATCAAGAGGAGCAGTTGGGGATTTCCAATGGATTGGTTTCAAGACAGGAAACTCTACAGTAGCCATTGGTTTTACCATCCAGGAAAGTAACCATTCCGTGGTTAATAGTGGTTAATAGTGGTTAATAGTGGTTAATAGTGGTTACTAGTGGTTAATAGTGGTTAATAGTGGTTAATAGTGGTTAATAGTGGTTACTAGTGGTTAATAGTGGTTAATAGTGGTTAATAGTGGTTAATAGTGGTTAATAGTGGTTAATAGTGGTTAATAGTGGTTAATAGTGGCTAATAGTGGTTAATAGTGGTTAATAGGCTATAAACCAACAACAATGGGAATATGATGATGATCTGGTTGGTGGTGACTGGAACCATGGAAGATGGATTGACTTTCCAGAAACACTTGGGAATTTCCTCATCCCAAGTGACGAACTCACTCCATCATGTTTCAGAGGGGTAGGGCGAACAACCACCAACCAGTAGATGAATTGGGGGAATCCTATGAATTATCCCTAAATTTCGCCTCTCCGGAAATTTGGTTGGAAATTCCTGAGAATCATCCAGCTCAGGGGTTTTGAGCCTCCGAGGTTCGGAAACTCGTCTAAACCAGGCTCAATGTGGTACCTATGATTATTCCATATGATTCCCCTGTGATTTTTAAGCACCGGGACCGGGCCCAATCTTATCAATCTTTGGGCTTGTGAACACCATCATGTACTTCTTCGTATCACAGGGTGAAATCCCAAGAATTTCATGGTCTGGGATTATAACCCACTTATATGGGATAACACCAGTTAGGGGACTTACTTACCAGGGTTATCAACCACGAAGTGGGAGGATCTTCCAGGTGGGACCCTCAAATTGAAGCCCTCAATTGACGCTGGTCCGTGGCTCGAAGCACGGCAGCGGAGAAAGACCAGTGCCGCAGCCTCCAGCAACTCGGTGGCCAAGATGATTCATAGAAGCAGTGGGCATTGCCAGTTTGGGAAAAGGCCACATCTCATCGACTTTGCACGTAACAGGGTCTTTGGACTGGTGAAATGTTATGAAATGGTAACCCCCTACTCTTGGCTGCTTCCCAAGGTGAGACTTCTCACCTCAACCTCAAGGTAGAGCCGGGGCACCTAGTGCGGAACGGAGACTTTTCCGCGGCGCCAATAGCGACAAGAAACCATGGTGCTATATCCAAGAAGAACGCTTGTTAAACCAAGAGAAAGTGAGATTTAAGTGTTTAACCAGCGAGAAATGTGGTTTCACCAACAGACATGGGATGAAATTGTACTTGAATACCAGTAACAATGGGCATATGAGGTATATGACTGCGGGGATGCATCAAGTTCTGCAAGATGCCAAGCGATGTGATTCACATCAAAACAGCTGGGATTTGATGTTCAACAGTTCAAGCCCCAAAATATGCGATGACTAATGGTGTTTCATGGGATAACTAATGACTAATATGTCCTGTTCTGATTTGTTTCCGGCATTTTGGGGGAACGCATCGATGCAATCCTTGGAGTTGGCTGAGGACCGAACCAATCAGATGTTGAGACGGAGCATAAGTGCCTGGGCGTTCTGCAGTTGATGCTGCAGTGCACCCGATTTTGTTCCAAAAGTTTCAACACTGAAATTGGTCTGGAAAGTTTACTTCCAGAGTCCCCTATGTCATGGTTTCAATATTTTTCAATTGTCCCACTTCGGCCTAGTGCCTTTTTCCAGATTCTATGTCAGACTTTGTGCACGAGAGTTGGTATGGAACCTACAGTACAGGTATCAGTGGGATTCGATCAGTTCCTTCCATATCATGCAGACTGCTTTGTCCAAACGCCTCAAACATGGATCCCACATCAAGAAGTGATGAAAAGATATGAAAAGGTACAATTCCTGGATCCCACGAGGGCACGCTCCCAACATATGGCCATTGAAAAATAAGGAAAATGTCATGATCTGCAAAAGGTGGTTTCAACTATTTGGGTTTTCAAAAACCCATCCGAAAAGGGATGAGTTGAGACGAGGTTACATCCTCCTGGGCGTTGCTGCTGGATGTGCAGACGAGCCATGGCATGCCATGGCGCGAGCGTCTAAGGTTGGGGATGTCACCCTGAAACAGCGGGAGTTGATGAAAAATAGGGACTTAACTAACAAAAGTGGATAGTTAACCAGAAACGAATGGAAACTATATGAAACTACTTTGTGGAGTCTTGGGGAATCTAAACATGTGAAAGAACCTACATGCGGCCATATGACCCGGTACCCGGTACCGGAAGCACAGTGTAATTATTTTACATGTAGCCGTTCGCAAATCAATAGAGTTGGGAAATCCGTACTTGTTTCGGAGGCGCTACAGTTCTCCCAACTGACAGCTATAACAATGAAGACGCCATGTCACAGGGATCATGCATCCAAATATGGATGGGTTTCAAGTGTGCCATATAGCCACGTTGTTTTTACAGTATGTGACTGCGACTCTTTGTGAAACACACTGGAACTTCCGGGAAGAATGGCCACCAGAGATTGATTTACAGGTGTTCAGCATGATAAGTGATGCGTTCTCATTCATAATTAACAAAAAACTAACAATTATTCTCATAGAATATCAACTGAATATCCATAATACCATGTGATATTGTCATATTGTCCACGGCGACCTATCCATTGTGCCGCCAAGGACCACTGCGTCGGCTGCTCAATGCCGGGGCGAGGGGCACCTCAATATGGTCCAATGGGATTTGCTAGGTGAGTTGTCATGAACTACTGTAGCGATGGTGAATAGTGTTTGATCTCAAGATTTTTTGTGTTTGCCCTAAATTTCTTGCTTGAACTTACTCAAACTCACAAGTATATCCAAGCATGATAATCCTCCTGAAGTATCATGATCCTCTAAAAACAGTGAAACAACCAGCCATCCAGGTAGGCTTCGACCCTGACCTCGCAGATGGGGAGGTGGGTGTTTCCCTGATATCTTTGGTACAAAACTGTGTGTATGGATGGGGATATGTGATGGGATATAAAGCCGTTGATTATATAGAGATCCATGATTTGTTCTGCATTGTCTAGACTGGTGGAATATAAAGGAATATACCCGCATTTCATGCCAAAGATTACATGATTCATGGGAGTATATGGTGCTATGATTTGTTTTGAAATCCACCAGCATTGCTATCCCCATTGATGGCCATATGTTCTTACGGAAGCAGCTAGTCATCCCATGGATCACATGGCAACCAATAACTTTCACTGGGAAATAACTTTCACTGGGACCACAATGTCACGACCATATTATGATCATCATCATAGAATCACCATCAACATCATCATCATCATCATCAACCATTACATATAACCAATAAAATCATCACCAACCATTAATAGCCAGTACTAGCCGTACTAATCATCAATCACTAATCATCATCATCATCATCATCATCATCAACCATTACATATAACCAATAAAATCATCATCAACCATTAATAGCCAGTACTAGCCGTACTAATCATCATCATCATCATCATCATCAACCATTACATATAACCAATAAAATCATCATCCACCATTAATAGCCAGTACTAGCCGTACTAATCATCATCATCATCATCATCATCCATTATTCACCATCATTAACCATCATCACCACCAGCAGCAGCAGCATTGTCATAATCATAACCAGTGTGGAGGATCGTGGAGCTGAACCAGATCTCTGCGACAGGCGGAAGTCTTGAAAGTCAGCCTTTTGCAGACCAACGTCAAGACGTTTCTGCGCCCAGCTTGATGCCATCAAACCTGGGGGTAAAACCCAGGTTTGATCCCCATATTTCATCATTTTTCCCCTGAATGAGTGGTCAAACATCACCTGAAATTGATGGTTAGATGCGGAAGATGTTCCATATTCAAACAGGGATCCAACCAGAAATTGCAGGGCTTGATCACCACGCAGTGGATTAGTGTCGAACACTACGTATCCATACGTATCCGCCATGTTTGCGAGTTCTACCATCACATCCCCATCCCAATCATCACTACACACCTCTCCAACCACGAAGCAGTGTTTCCCAATTGCTGCTGATTGTAGTCCTGGGTATTCTCACTTCATGCCTCCATTTTCCAGCTTCAATATCCAGGTTTTGTACTTGTAGTCAAAATGCCTCTGTTTTGGGCCGAAATCGCATGCTCCTGGTCATATGAAATTTCCTGGTTGGTGCATATATTTTTTTGTTTAACCATTCTCTAAGTGGATTGACTGGAAGGGACAATCTACTGGTTTTTAATGGTTTTTACATGTTTTTACCTTCAATTTTCCTGTAAAAATGTTCTAATTCTAGGAATAATATCATTAAATTCCATTAAATTCCATTCACTTCCATTAAATTCCCTTGTCCATATTCCTCTGCGTCGACTCCCATTGTGCTGGTCATATATTAATATGGCCATATGAGTTTTCCTGCATAAAACATTGTTGCTAAACTTCCATTGCTGGAAAACATCTTTGGACCGATCGATGCAAGCCCGCAACCGCCATTTTTCCGTGCTAAGACCCAGCGTGTCAGATGACGAAACATGGCAGCAGTTGCCAGCAGTGGCAGGTTCCCTTCTATTTTCCAACATGTATTACTTTTTGGGGAGTTGGAAGGATTTAGGGATAAATGGGATCAACGAGTATTTCACCACCAAGGCCAAAGGCGCGGAAAATAGAAACCTCTTATTGTGGGTAAGGGCTAGCTACATGTTGGCGAAGATAGTTGAAACTGAGACGCAAGCAGCTGCTTCCTGTTCAAGATGTTCAGGAGGCGAAATTGATTGAAACAAACATGAAGAATCAGAATGGTTGAGATTGTTGAAGTGTTTGTTTGTTCAACATGTTTTCTTAGCAAAGGCTTTGGTGAGGACTACTTGACAGCAGACATCATGCCGTGTTGCAACCCAGGATCAGGTTCATTTATTCCAAGCGGGCGACGTGAACCAGGGCATTTGGGATACTTTAGGAGGACCGGACTGTCGGGTGGCATGAGGTTTTGGGTGGATTGTATTCCAATATATTCCAATAGTCATTAGTGATTAGTTGGTTAAATGATTTAAATGTGTTCCCATATTCAGCAGATGTAGAGTTATTTTGCTGCATTGTTGGTGTTTTACCCGATTGTATCCAGTACTCATTGGTAATTTACCACGCTAAAACCCCGGTTTTGGCCTATCTCATGGTTCCCCAACGGTCGCTTTTGCGCCATTTTTCAGGAATGTTCCGCAAGGCAGAGAAGAATGCCGTTGAGATTCAGAAGAGCGTTCTGGACACGATTGTGTCTGAAAGCTTAGCGATGGTGGCGAGGTGATGATGGGAGATGGTTGATTATTGTTTTACCCACAGTATTTCCTATTGTATCCCAGTATGTCCCACTATATCCCATTGCTGGTTGAGTCTGGTTCGATCCGAAAGCTTAGAGGCCTTCATATCCTCAAGCCGCGTGGCTTTGAAAACCATTTTCCCCGCGTTTGATGTCTGTTGGGGTATACCCAATTTTGGGAAACAAAAAAACATTTGGATCGGAAGCTATTGACCCCCTAAAATGGATGGTGTTACACCCAAAATATCTAACAATGACAAATTATGTTGTATTGTTTTGACCTATCCAAATTTTCTCACCACAACTTTGCACATTCCAAGTGCGTTCATACCTGATTTCATACTCAGATTTCAGCAATTGCCCTGCTTCGAAGCTGCAGCTTCTCCGCAGAATGAGTTTCCATGGCCGATGTAGATCCTAGACAGCTATCGACTGTGTCACACAGTTTCACGCTGTTGGATTGTCCAACAGCAATCTGATTGTTTCCGGATATCATTTCAGAGTCACACCCCGACTGCGGGGTGTGTGAAGAAATCGCCTTTGGCAGGGTGTCCGGAATATGTTTTGACATGTTTTGACATGTCACATGAAATCGGGGGGTGTCTCTCTTTCCAGGGTGTCCATGTGTAAATCCTCCCTCCCCAAGCCTTTCTTCCCAAGCAACGCCATTTAAACATTGTGAAGCCACGTCGCGATCAAAGACTCTGCACTTCATGATGATCAAGGTGCTTGGCGCCAACTGTCTTCTTTCAAACACTTTTCAAACAGGTTTCAAACCCTCCAGGCGGGCCCTTCTGAAATACAAAAGCAGAAACCGAGAACAAGCAGGTCAGAGATGAGATTGTCCACTTGCTACCAGGGGATGGTGCACGGATGCGCGTAAGTACCGCAATTTTTGAATGAGACCGTTATTACATGCCGACTTTGTAAGGCGATCTTGAGCTTGGGAAAGGCGTTTCAATCCGCCTATCCGCTTTTAAATTTGTTTCAGCACGTAGATATCGTGGCATGTGAATACGGGTCCCACTTCCCCACAGACTGCAAAGACCACAAAGATAAATCGACTATTAAAAAATACCATGTTATTGTACTGTAAGTATCAAAATCGGGATGTTTTGCTCATCTAGACTCCAAGAAATGCTTGTCAACCCGCGAAGTTCCTGTATACCCCCAAATTGGTACTTCTCAACACTAGTGATACTTCTCAGTTATTGACCCAAAAAATGAAATGAACATAAATTATCCAGATATCTTCGAACAGATTCGGAGCAGTGCTCGGAGACGTGGCCCAAAATGTTCTGAGGGCGCAGACAGATGCAGCCCTAGATGATGTTGACAAGGCACTCAGTGAAGATGCAGTTGTTGTTTGAAGATTTTCTGAAACACAACAAATCGGTCGCTGTTTTTTTGGGCAACTTTTGCCTCAGTGGTATGGGATGACGGACTCAGTCATGGGATCCTGATTGGGGTGCCAGGTAGTGAACCAATACGAGGCGGATGTGGAGGCCCGGCGAAGTTTCTGGATCTCCTATCTTGATGATCTATGATCATGGTGAATGTATAGGGAAATCATCCCCAAATGGCCTTAAAAAAATCAGATTAGTGAAATATGATCATTTACCCAGATGAATGTGTTGCTGTTTCTTTTCGCTGGGACTCGGGAATCGTTGATATCGACATAGATCGACTTTGCTGACACCATCCTTTCCCTGTTCATTCGCCACCGGAGGAAGCAGAGATGAAGTTCGTGAAGAAAACCAATGCGTCAGTCATGGAACAGGTCCAACTCATCAAAAAGAAGGCAACGCAACTGCGCTGCGCTGCAGGAAGCAATGGGATGCCAATATGGGGGAAGTTCGTCAAAGTCTTGCAAATGCGTTACTTACTCGAAACTCTTTCTTATTGCAAGAAACCCCCATGGCGCTTGGTTAATTACCAAAAGAATGGACAAAATCACTATTTTTTTGGAGACCTCAGAAACCTTTCGAGTTTAAAGTACCAGATTATGACCCATGATCCTCCAGAAGCAATGGAGAGATCATCAGCAAAGCCCAAGCCCCTGATCTCAGGATGAGGCCACAATCAACCACCATGTATCACGGTCGCCAACAGGGATAGATATTGATACCAAGAGAAGGGCAACTCACCCAACTTGCCATGAAGAAGAGCATCTTAATATGTTGGATTTCTGATTGACAGCTTTGTTTTCTTCTAAAACGATGACTCAAAGTTCACTTGAAATCCTAGTGGGTGGGATATATCCTCTCACATCATTGGCCCCTTTCATTATATCTTATGGTAAACAAACATAACTATGGAAAATCATCATTTTTTAATAGGTAAATCAACTATAAATGGCAATGTTCAATAGCTATGTTAGTTTACCAGAGGGTATACCTTATAAGCCAGGCAAGAACTATTCATCAGGTGCTGGATCCGGTATGTTTTAGGGTCACCATCCCAGTCTTGGGGACCTGGGGACTTGCCTCTCGGAGTTCGCCTCTCGGACCAGGTGGCTTCAGTGATGGACAAGGGACGCGCCGGGACCTTACCATCACTCCGTGGGATGCAAAGACTTGTCGCAGAATATGCATGTATGGCCGTGTCTCAAGAGCACGAATCGATGAATGTCCGAAACACAGTACACATCAGTACACTTTGTTTACTTCACAAGGAAAGCATGTTTCCTCGTGGGTGCCTAGATGGGAGTTGCTAGCAAACCTAATGCATTACATTGCATTACTGTAAATTTGTGATTGCCATTGACAGCGAGTTAAAGGGAACAAGAGAAATCAAGTTCTACAAAAACAAGCATGGCTTGCAGGGTCAACTTTGATTTCTACAAGATCGCCTGAGGCCTTTTGGCGGAATTCCAAGCAACAGGTCCGAAGCTTGGTAAAGATGGCATGCCCAGCGTACAGTACCTGAAAAAAAGTCTATGGAACCTGGAGCGGAAATGGTGTCTCAAACCCCAATGAGTCTGTTGGCTCGAAACCAGTGATTTGGGATCCACGATTTGAAGAAACAGAGTCGCCCAGTTCAAAGCCCAGTTGGTCAAAGGTGGTACGCATCCAAAACATCGTGGTGGGCACGCTGTCCACGGTCGGCCAAACCGTTCCTTGGCATTGAACCGTTCTTTGAGGATCTAACCATAGAGGATTGAGCCAACAAGAAGCTGGCTTGAAGCCACAAATCTATGGTGATTTCAGTATTAAAATTAGGGTGGGCTGGAATCCGAAGACAAATCCGGAATTGAAAGTGAACCCCAACAGAAATTGGGAGTTTAAGAAACTAAATTGGGAAGTTCAACCAACTCAAATGGGATTGATCGAAAATGAAAGTAAACAAATATGGACAGAAATCAGATTTGACCAACAAACATCGAGGCTTACGCAACACACCACAGCGGTCCTCATATGTCCCAACTCTGACTGGATGAAAATACATTTAACATCATTTAACATCATTTAACATCACCTGAGATGATGAGTACATAATCCTTTCGGTCCCCCTAAAAGTTGCTGGAACGAATGTAGGGGAAGTACTTGACCCAGTCAATGGTTGGGAAGGAACCAGCTCAGGATGGGAAAGAAGTTTGCCACTGAAAAATGGGAAGTACCAAGGTAAATAGATGTAAATAGCAAGACTGGAAATTCAATTCCCATTTTCAGGATTCAAACGAGTGACATCCGTGCATACACTGGAAATCATTCAGCCAGAATCATGGGCTTCGGTTTCCAACCAGAACAGGATGCTATAAACCTCCCCAACAAAGGGGATACTCATGGGAGTCACCATTTTATTTGGTGAAACTGCATTTTTTCTAGGTGATATCCCATCGTTTAAGCATGCATCAAGATGTTTTTGGTGATATCATGTATATTCTGCTATCCAACAAATAAAAATAGGGACCTTAGTGATTTTAACAAAAAATATCCACCATAATGATCCACCATATCCAAATAACATGTTATCCACCATATCAAATTTCATGGTGGAAGCGATGCTCACTCAGGACACTGCCATCCAGATCAATAGCACGTGACCTGGCACCCAATATGTTCACCAAGAAACACCAATTACCCAACCTGGTTATGTCAACAGTTTAAGCTATTGAAAATGGTGGTTTGGTGGTTTAGTTCGTGGATTTACCCATAGCATGGTGGATCTTTCCATATGCAAACGTTTGCCAGGCCGGGTAGACTTCACCAGCAGGGATTTCACCAACGAAAATCTTGAAAATCCGACCTGCCCAAGAAAGTAGATCATTATTGGTTTTTGACGTTTCCGTTTTTTAAATTGGTGGTTTAATTCATGTCATGGCGTGGGATGAACTCGGCCGGGATCACATGAAAATGTTAGGCCAAGGACCATCCATTTACCCGTGCGTTCGAAAGCAGCAAGCAGCTGATCGTATTCATTTACGACAATTTAGCGATCCATTTACTTTTGATTGTCATTATTACACATTATTACTATATACCCTCTGGCTATTTAACATAGCCATGGTATAGATGGCCCATTTATAGATGGTTTACCTATTAATAGCATGGTGATTTTCCATGGCTATGTTAAATAACCAGATGGTATTACTATTATATTACTATTATTATCATTGTTATTGGGGTCAAAACATTGGACGGATATCACGTTAGACAACCGAGACCATCGCATTTTCCATCTCAGCTTTGAGCATGTAAGGATGATAATTATGATTGTATATGATTGTCATAGTCTTCATTATTATGTGAGATGGAATGATTAAAAACAATGATAACGATGATTACCTTTTTTTATCACTAATTAGTTATTGTGATGATTATTGTTCCATGATATCATCTCGGTACCATCCTATTTCCATTCTTATTCTACGTGTATACATATATGACATACATACATACATATATATATATATACACACACACACATGTTTACAACCATCGTAGGGTTGCTTAACAGCCCCTATCCATCTGAGTTTCTCCCACCCCAGGGTGGTCGCGCTGCTGCAAAAGTTGGACTCGGCGTCAGAGGGGACGCTGACGGTGGCCAAGGTGTAGCCCTGGGCCCTTGGGAGTCGTGGCTTTTTAGGTAAAAGATGGGATTTAACCATCAAAACTAGGTCAATATCATCCATTTATAGCTGAATTTTCCCAATAAAAAAAACATCCAGCGTTTTTGGGATAGCCCGATTTATGGAAATCACCATATACCCTCTGGTTATGACCAACATAGCCATGGTATAGATGGCCCATAGAAATAGATGTTAAACATGATGATTTACCTATTTAAAATGGTAATTCTCCATAGCTGCGTTAAATAACCAGAGGGTAACCATCAAAAAGGGTGGATGTAGTTGGGGTAAAATATGGTAATAGTGTGGATGTTGCTACCAAATATGAGGAGATTTCATGGAAGATGAGGATCAAAATCTGCAAAATTGGGATGTGACAAGAAAATGTTCTTACTTTATGGCACTTTATGGGGGGTTAAACCAACATGTAGGTTTATCATTGTCATCAACTATTTCAGAACATGTGAACTTAGCAATAAAGCTAGGGATGGACATGGGCTTCACAAGAGCTAAGGATAGGGATTCAAGCACCAAAATTATGGAGTCGGACACCAATATTGAGATTTTTCTGCAACAAGAATGGGTATGCAATGAATGGAAATTCCGACCGGTACTGTTAAGGCGATGAAGGGAAACAGTGGAAAACTTAAGTGTCAGGTGTTGTGGTCAAAATTATGAACCTCAATCTCAGATGTGTTGGGGGAAGGGCATAGAAAAATATGTTATCGTCTTCAACATGGATCTTAGCGCTTGTTACATGGATTGTTTCTCGGTTGATATTGCCACATTTGTTGTCAAAGATTCCCGCAATTCCAACCTCATGGTTGTTCATTCAGCCAATTTCTGTTGGTACACCGTTTTTTGGTGGTTAACCTGTTAAGCCCTCATTTTTGCTCCTGAAATCCTAATTGTTTGATGATAAGATAACAGCTTTTGGTTCGTGAAATCAACCATGTTTGGTAGTGGTTTTTGCTGGGTTCTCCTCCATCTCATCAGGATGCGCGAGCGGTCACAGTCACTTGCCGTGGATTAAAGATGGGTTGGGAACAACTTGGCAATTAAACATAGTTGTTTACGCAGCCATGAGCTATTCCCCAAGGTGACCAGGTTGTGGGCACTACACATGACGTTTTGGTAGTTAAATACTCTTCAATCCACCAAAGAAGTGGTGTGTATTACGGAGATACAAGAAACTCTGCGGGAGACAAAGCAACAAGTCCGGAAACAAATAAAAAATCAGGTGTAGCGCCGCAAAGTGAAGTAGTTGGCAACGAAAAAAATGAATGTCACCATTAGATGCAGATCAGCAAAAAGATGCCGGCATTATTTGGTGGACTCATTGGGCCTCAGACCACAACTCCATCTTTTCGTTGCGGAGCAAGGCCGAAACTGCCTCCTGTGCCGTGTTGAAGTTGAACTCGACCTTGGCGCGCGCTAGCCATGAGGTGCGCCACAGATTTCACCGATGGATTGGAGGTAAGTTGCCATAGAAAGATGAGGGATTTGAGATGATTTGAGGGATTCTGAGGCAAAACAAATGAGGGACCCTAGTTGGGAGAGAGAAGCCAATGTTTGACCAATGTTTGACCAAGAAAAATGGGGAAGTGTTACCAACAAAAGTGTTTGGTCATTCCGATTGGCCGTGTCGTGCCTAAAACCTCAATCCATGTTATGGGCACGAGCGGTTCACCCCATCAGTAGCTGCGCAGGTGGAGTCTTTTACCAAGGACTTTGAGGACGTGTTCAAGGCCCGAACAAACTGCTTGGGGAGAGGAACCAACAGCCGCTGTGAAAAAATGGATCGCCAAAGAGAGGAGTTTGGACCCTGAAAAGCGGAGAAGTTATGACATCGTTGGGCTAGAGGTCACTGAAATTATCATCTGGTTGGTGGTTTGGAACATTTTCTATTTTCCCATATAGTGGGAATGTCATCATCCCAACTGACTTTCATATTTTTCAAAACGGTTAAAACCCCCAACCAGATGGTTATTTACCATATTACTGTTGATGATCAATGGTTATTCAAAATGGTTAAAACCACCAACCAGATGTTCATAGATGATCAGTACTGGTTGACATGTCCATGCTTGTGGGCTTCACCGCTTGACCCCAATTCTTGCATGCTTCAACTCCACTTTGAGCATAGTTAAATCATTGAAATCCATGTTCTATCCTGTTCGTGTGTGTGTGTGTTAAAATCTGCTGATTAATACGCTCGATGTTCCGTTGCTTCAACTTCCCTATTGCTGCCGACATCTCCTTGTTCTGGGCCGTTTTGGTGGTTCGCCAGGTGACCGAAGCCAAGATGTCGGATCTCTCCAAGAAATTGCCCTCGGAACTTAGCCAACAAGCCTTGGAGGTGGGGATGGATGGTAGGTACCTCTCTGGACCGTCATATCTGGTCATGTTTTGGTCTAAACATGTCTAAACCATGGTTTCTGCGCCGGTCTGACCCAGATGAACTTGGTCGACTCCAAACTCGGCCCTGGGTAGAAATTGGGACAGCGAAACTGGAACCACTCCAATATGGGGCAGAAGGGTTTTTCAAAGGCACCTCCCGATGGGCTTTGAAGGTCATCTGAACGTAAGAATCATCCGCCCAAATGATGCACGTTCATCTATGAAATCATAAGCATAATCTGAATCCTTCAATTGGTGATGTGCCTTTTTTCTTTGAAACATTTGGGCGTGTCTTAAAACACACAAGAGTTCCCAGAGTTGAATATAGGGCAAACACTTTTCAACCATGGTATATGTCGGTGTGGTGACGGTACGCAGGCGGCTGGCAAGCTGAGACAAAGAGGTGTCTTGGTCACAAAAGTACCGGCCTTCATTTCTGGTTCCACCAATTGGTGAAGGGTAGGTTGTTTGAATTGTTGTTTGCTTTCCGCCATTTTGATGTGTATATGTACTACACAGCTAGAAATCATCGTTTGTTGTTTAAGATTAGCCCTGACTTGGCTTCGTGGTTTCGTTGTAAATTGGTCATCCGTCATCCTAAAACTGATCACCCCACAAGAGGTGATTGTGGTACACCAACCTTTGGATGAGATAAGCATTCTGATTGCGTGGCATATATATATACATGGATATTATATTATATTTATATGATATTATTGACTATGACTTACTATGATGTATCAATAATGATTGTGATGCCATTTGATGGCATCAACCGGGGAGTAATGTTGCTTATTTCGTTTTCCTGCGAAGATGGCACCAAACGATGGCCGAAAGTTTGTGACATGAACATTGAAAATTTGTGTGTTTTCCAGGGAATGTGATGTCCATTGGATCATTGGATTGGTTTTTGGGGGCAAATCTGCCGGAAAAGCCTAGTTGAACCAAGGGGAAAAGCCATGGGTTTCCCGTGGATTTTCGGCCCAAGCTGGAGAGACTTATCTGTGATGGGCACCCGATGATGGGCAGCAATGAAAAACTGCGTCCATGTTACAGTTAAATCCTAAATTTCTAGAGGTATGGCAGTAAATTGAGTTCCAATTTGGGTTCCAATTTGGCCATGGAAGTTGCTGAGATTTGATCTCTGGCCACATTGGAACCCGATGTGGACTTACGATGAATCGCGGCAGAAGGGCAAATTGCCGAGTAGTTCAATGAAAGATCGGATGGTCCATCCTTGGGCCGAGACCATCTTTAGACGATGATGAGTATTGCGGAAGCCATCAAAACCGACCCAAAATGTCCCAGAATTGGAGAAGTTGGGAAATGTCACAGGGTTCTTCCCCATCATCAATAGGGACCATGGAAAATACATGTTTCCTGGTATTTTTTCCTGAAAAAAACAATCCAACGAATATTTCAACACCCAAAATCCATGAGTTTCCAGTAGTTCAGCCATGAAATTCCGCGCTGTAATTTCCAGCGCAGCTGGAGGGGCGCCGGTGCAGGAGAGCTGTTTTGGTGATTTTGGGAGGTCGTCATGGGGTGATTTCAACAGAGATCATGGATTAAACATGGCTGAAGCAAGCAAAATAGAGGTTTTAGCCATCAGATAAAGCGGCAGAAAGACGACAAGCACCAAAAATGCGGATGTACTGAAGTTTTGCAATCAAACAATCGGTCAGCTGGGGCATTATCAATCTAAATTGACAGATGAATTCTATTCAATGACCATCATTTTCAGCAAAACTTAGCTTCTTTGGAACAGGTTGTCTCACTCCAAACACTACCAAGTCCCAATCATAGCTGCAGTTTAGGAACTCGCTTGTGCGCTTACCACCAAACTGTTCTAACTAGTATTAGATCTGGAAATGGATTTTCCCTTTCTGACAGACATGAGCTTGCGCATCTGCGTTGCTTTCCCTCTTGATTTATCCATGTCAGAAAAGGCGCTCTCACCCCCATCCCCAAAGTTTTTCTCCTTGTCATGGCCACAGTTTCACCTCAAAAAGTGCTGATTTTGACCGCTGATTTTGACCACGGACCAGGACACGATCCACAAGGTGCTTCTAGCCTTGCACCGTCTGCAAAAAGTGACCAAGGGAACGACCCCTGGATCCATCCAGAGCATTGTGTCTTGACGAAACAGCCCTGGGGGGATGTAAAACCAATCCCGTCATCAAAGATGCCCTCCAAAGCCTGGTTGAGCATTGGATTGAACCATATTTGGGAATTCAACACGCTCTCATTGGATCGGTTTTATCTTTTTTTGTTTGCAGGAATCCAAGGTTTTTGTTGCCATCCAAGATGTGCAGAGTCAAACTCGATGGGTCTTATGAATCATCCAACTTGGGGAATTTAGCACAAGCAAACCCAGAAAGATTGAATTTAAGTCTGGAGTGAACCATTAGAAATTGAAACGTATGCATTGTACGCTACAAGCTGTTTCGCATTGCGTCCTCTCTGCGTCCTCTTCGAGGTGCTGCAGCTGACGCCGGACGGCTTCGCCTTTTGTCACAAGGGCGGAGTGGACGAAGGGTCTCAGACCTGGAGCCACTTTCAGGCGGACGGAGAGATAGGAGAGATAGGGAGAGATACCAATTGAAGGCTTGGTGGTTGTTGATATGTTGGTGGTTGAATGTGGTTGATATAGTTAATATGTTGTTGATTTAGGGTTGATGTAGATGGATTCAATGGATTCGGAGTGAACTTTGGGTTGAAGATAGGGATTTCACCTAGCAAAAGATGGGTGCCATTGCGATGAAAATGAGGATTTAAGCAACAAGAAAGATGGGGTGGTTTAGCTCCATCGGCGGGATGCAACAAAAAGGAGGCTTAACCGTTTAACCAACAGAAGAATGGTAGAAAACCCTATGTCAGTGGTAGAGAACTCGAATTTCGAGTGTCGGAAAATGCCATTGATAACACGGCCTCCTTTCTATAGCAGCTGGTGTCCATTTTAAGGTGTGTCTGAAAGTGTTGGCAAAATCCCAGAAATTGATGGTTTACTGTCATTCTCACCCCTCAGAAATCGCAATTTTGGTGGTCAGACCCATTTGAAGTTTTCGTTCACGTTGTAGAGCATCCTTGGTTCCGCATTGCAGGCGGCTAAGTTATTCCAGGATTATCGCATTGAATCGAAGCTTGGATTTGCTGCGTGAGTTTCGATTTGTTTCGATTTCCCATATATTGGTGAATTCAGCATCAACCATGGGTCAAGCGTGGATGGATAGTTTAGTCCTTGAGCTTGTTTTTGAAAATTAAACGGTGGCATAATTCTCACCAGCAAAGAGAATACGTCTTTGTTCTTGCATTGTATCGAAGAGTGTCCATGAGTAGGTTGATGTTTATTCGCATTTTCTGGGGATGCCTCGATTATATCGTTCAATGTATCAATGGATTGAAGGGAAAATCTACACCGGAAACCATCGATTTTCCCAGCAAAAAACTGGGGCTGTTCGGTTTCAATTTTCCCTTAAACCAATCCATTGAGCCATCCATTTCAGGTTAAGCGAATTTATTCTAATTCAGCCAGATTAATGGAGTATATCATATTATATCCCATAATTTTGCTGAGTTCAATGTAATAACCAACAACATGATCCCTGGTGGTCTATGGGGACGTGACCAAGCCAAGGAAGCGATCGAACAAAATCAGTCTGGAAGCGCAAATTCCGAACCTCGAACAGCTTTATCATCGGGTGATGATCAGCTGCTGGGGTAGAACCAACCAGAAAACATGGGCTTAACAACAACGAATGGTGTGATATGACTATGACAGAGTCAAAAATACAGGTACCTTGGTAAGCGCCAAAATAGCTGTGATTGATGGATGTTCATCTTCCCAAAATCTGGTGTAACTAATGGGCTTTTATCCATCCCATTATAGCTTGATGTATAAAGTTTAAAGTGAATATTTGGGAGTTGATCAAGAAATTTACGGCTGTAAATTGCCAGATTTGGATGGTAAACCTTAAGGGTGCCCTGCCTTTTCCCCACAACGCAAGCGAGTTTGTTTGGAAACTTGGTAACCACAACTCAGAGAAAAACATATGTGTCCCCATTTTATTAACATATATATATATTGTGGGTATGCCCCAGTTTGAGACACCTCCATATCTGGTGATTACTATCCAGTGATTCACCCCAATATTGACAACTATTGCCCATTCAAAATATTTGCTGTGGTTCATGTTTGTGAATTAAATATATACCATCATCTCCCGACTGGGATTTTACACAGATATGTATGTGTATGTATATGCATATGCATTTTTTGTTACTGGCACAGAGGATCTTTTGATGCGGCCAATGCAATGAACTGTACAGGGATTGGAGGTTCAGCCAGCGTAATCCTTTCCGATTACATCACCGCATGTTGAGACTTCCATAATCAAACACTGGGAGTGGAACTCATGGCTGATACATATGCATATATACATATATACCGATGATTGACCGTTGTTAACCCTTGATATGGTATTGTTGCTTGTGCATCCCGCATGTATCTCTTTATGTGTATGTATATATGTATAGATATCCCATTCTATCCCCATTGGTGTTACATGTGCATACATTACATACATGGGTACATATATATATATATAGATATATCAAACCTTTCAAGCCTTCTGGATCTTCGTCCGGAGGAATTTGCTGCACGTCTTCAGCAGCTGCGCCAACAGTGACATCACCACCTTGCGCCTGGCGAATGGACAGGACGGCAGGCAGGGGATCAGCACAGGGTCGGGGGTTGGAGGAGGTGGTGCCAAAAAAGGAACAAAGGGGATGATGAAAGTTGTAAAAATTGCTAGTATTGTTATTTTTGTTGTTTATACTTAGGTTCGTATTCTTGTGAGTGTTTCAATGGTGTTGTTATTATTATTGTTATTCTTATTGATATTGAGATTATGAAGATGATGAAGATTACGAAGAAGAAGGTTATGGTGATGGTGATGATGATGATGATCATGATGATGATGATGATGATGAAATATTTCCCCTAAAGAATGTAATCAGCTGTGTGTTTAAAAAAAAGTTGTTTCCAAAAGTTTAGTTGGCAACTGGCCACGCAAGGTCAACAACCTCTGATGGCATACTCCAACTTAAGTTCTTCACCGATGCCCCAAAACTCCAGGTCAAGCTGGGGTGAAATAGCTTTCCCAACATCGCCGTCAAAGCCATTTTTGTTGGCGCGGTGACCCCTTGATATCCCACGTGGTCGCTCCTCATAGGCCGGTGCTGCACTTTGATTTCTCCTTAGCTGGGAATGCCACAGATCACAAAGTGGGACAGGAGGCACCGGGTCAGCCATGGGAAGTTCAATGAGGATGTGTCAGTGATATTATCATCAGTGGGATCATATTAATGCTTCATGGTGTTGTGATAATGGTTAATGGATGTTAATGGATGTTAATGGACGTTGATGGATGTTATCTGGATACGCTAGATGGAAATGGACCAAAACCTGTGAAATACAGTTGAAATACCATATTTGGGGGGATGAACCTCCATTTTACAAATCATTTTGGTGTGAAATATACAGGGTACTCGGAGTTTGAACCATTCCCAAAATAATGTTATTTACAATCGGTAAATCGTTGTCTATTCAAGGGATTGTATTTGTCAATATGGGGGGCAACATGTGTCAAAGAATGATGTGCAATGGTCAGTGTTTGTGATAATAATAATATTATATCGATGAGATGTTAATCACATTTGTATAATCCTCCGGCAAGATGAACGCAAATCATCAATTCTCCCAATTGTTACCAAGCACAGAAGATGTTGTCTCCCGCTGAGGCATGTTACCTAGTGTCATGCTGTGGTGTGGTGTCAAGATGTATATAATATACACAAACCATGTAATTTGTATGCACATATGTACACAATTGCAGATATCGATTGAATACGATGTAGTAAAACCCCATGCCGTAAACCTCCATTGATTATGTTGAACTTGGTTTTAAGATGCCATCCATTCCCGCATCTTTGAGTCATTGTACAGATGCAGGTACATATATATATATAGAATGAATATGGATATAGATCGACAAAGAAAGTGGCGGTTCATCTATATCTGAACCAAGATATGTCCATGTAATTATCTTCTTGTTCAACCAAGATTTGCCTGTGACATAGACAAGTAAATGGTAAACCATGGCAACATGATGACCATAAATGGGTGTGTTTCCATCCCCAAAAAGGATGGTTTATGGCGGTTTCTGTTGGTCAAACCTTTTTTACCACATCCGAGGTATATATCCCATGTCCCATACTTCTCCCGGTATTGGAGATATCACTGGAGAATTTCGATTGATACATCAGTGATATATTCCCATCTTAATCGGATACGTGAAACCCATGTTCATTGGATAGAGAATGATAAGTTAAATATCATGATCAACAAATCTACCAATGGATACCAATCATCCAATAGTGAATGATAGTGATTCCAATCAGCCAACTATCATTACAATAGTGGATTATCTATAGTGGATATCATTGGATATCTACCAATAATCCACTATCTACCAATGGATTATCATTATAGTATGGATAAAATAGTGAAAAAGTAGATATAGTCACCAAATGTAATGTGCTACCTTGACCTAGGTGGGTTCTGGATAGGGTAGGTTTTTTCAAGAGTTATATTGAGAGATTTTGAGTTATAAAGAGTTTTAAAATGAGAAAACATGGGAAAACATGGGAAAATATGAGAAAACATGGGAAAAAGAGAAATTTTGAGAAAAAAAAGTTTTGAATAAGAAGACTTAATCGAACAAGATCACGTCACCCACATGTTTGTTTTCTTTTCAAGTCAACTGTTTGCAGCTACAGTTTTGTTTTGCCACATTTTGTTTGCAGAGACTTTATGTTATTTAAAACTATATATTCATATGATATCATATGATATGAATTGCATGAAATTGAAATATTTGATATCCTCTGGTTGGTTATCCCATATGCAAATGCAAAATTAACAAATCCCCAATACAAACATGGCATGGTTTATGTACAAATTCAAATTTATGTCCTAACAAGTATAATATATAAGTAGAAAGTGGTGACATGTGTCAACAACATATTGTACCTTAATTTCGTTTGTTTCCCTCTTACACCGTCTTGCCCCGCCGCTGCTTCATTGTGGACTTGAACAACATCTCTTCGACACAGGTGCTACTGGCTTGTTTTGTGCCTGAGGAGTTGCTTAGTCAGTTGTAACAACCCTGTTTTTTTAAAAAAAAATATTGTACATATTTTCAAAAATAAGGTGTTTTATTTCATTCCTCATTCATGTCATTGACATCTCTGGCAGTAGCAAATCATGTTTTTGACATCCCTGGCCGATCAATGCAGACATTTGTCCCAAGCTGCCATAGACTTTTTTTGGTTTCATCTGTGGTCATTTGTCATGGCTAGACATGGGGACCGCATTCGTATGGTTGAGTCGCAAGTGGCGACGCCGTTGGTCTTTGAGTACTTGTGTGGCTTGGGTGACACCGGTATCCGGTTTGTAACGGAGGCATTGCACCGCCCAGTTCCAGATCCACGCAATGATACGCGTCAGTTACTTGTTGATAAACTAGAACTGTATATTTTGAT